GCCCCACGCTTTTCATTTTCAATTTCATAGATTGTTTATAATGACTTTTGCTAAAATTTCAAAATCAAAAGTTATCAAAACAAATTCTATGGGACTGAGAAGTATTATTTTCTACTTTTTAGTCCATTTATAAAAGCGTTGTATATTAAAAAGTTTTTTTTATATTATTTATTTTCTACTTTTTAGTCCTGTCTGAATAAAATTTTGCAATAGATATTAAAATAATTCAACGATATTAATAGAAAGGTGCACACACATGCATTTACATATGTATGTACATACAAACGAGCACCAATTAATTTTATTTAAAGAAATGGCGTGTCGTCTATTTCCGCCGATATGCGTGTATAAACCCTCCTCAAAGTCTAGCCAAAAAGCCAGCAACTCACACAACAGGTTCCCCAGAGCAATTCGCTCGAGAAAGTGGTACCCGGTACACGTAATACGCGGCACACAGCACAACAATCCGCCAAAACAGGCAACCCGGCCCAAAATTACCACCGTAGAAGGCAGAAACCCCGAGCGGCAGTGCAGGAGCCCAAGAATTACCCTTAAAACGGCCACAGGAGCTTAAAAAGACCAACTGGTCCCCAACTGGCCCGAAGGTAAGTAGTTTCGGCCTAGTCCTGGACTAGACTGGTTTCCGGACTGGTCCCCGACTGGTTACCAACTGGTCCCACGAACTAGTTACCAACTGGTCCCAAAGTGGTTACCAACTGGTCCACCTATACCTCAAGTGGTCCACAAGTCACAAAGCATTCGATTTAGTTGACAATAGTCGAACTAATTTTATTTAAAGAAATGGCGCGTCGTCTATTTCCGGTGTAGCAAACGTAGTACATAGGGCGACATCTAGATGTCATCTACCTCGCCCTATTCACTATGCTTTTTTATAGGAGCTTTTCAAAGCTTTGCTTTGGTGTCGGAACACAACATTGAAAGTTTCTGGATCCACACATTGAAAGTTTCTGGAACACAACATTGCAAGTTGATAAAAGCGTTGTAATAATAAAAATAAAAAATGAAAATCGCGGCAAAGGTAGTATTTTTCATTATCCTCTCAGCTGCAAAAGGCGAGCAATCTGATGACAGTGAGGAATGCACAAATGCCTGCCCGAAAATCTTCGATCCTGTTTGTGCGGTCTACGATGGCGTAGTAGGGGAAAAAAAGGAGTCGGGCAATGAGGCAGGCACAGCCGTATATCGCTACTTCCACAATGATTATCTACGGCGTTATGCAAGTTGCAGCACAGGCACAGGTGAGCGCGGTTTGTGTTTTTTTTTTTTTCCAAATTACTTTGTAAAAGTTATTAACTATTTGTTTGTAACTTAAATCGAGACACTTTTAAATGCTTTTTAATTGCAGTTTGGCGCATCACATCCCTGTCGACTTGTCTACAGCATGTCAATCCTTTGTTACGCCAACAATGTTTGCGTCCTTGTCCCTTCATTTACGAACCGATTTGTGCTTCGAATGGCAAAGTTAAAGAAATTTTTGGTAATAGCTGCGTTTTAGCTGTGGAGAATTGCCTCTCTGTTGATGGTGAGTATTAAAATATGTAGGACTATGATATGGTTTTAGTTTATGATAAACAAATACATATATGAAGTATACCTACATACATTTACATAAACTGATAATAAAAAAATATATGCCTGGAAAGAATTAGGTACTCAGATTTTAAGCTTTGAATATGATGTGCCGACTGAAGCGCCCGGCTTTACGCTTCGATATCAGACAAACTTGGATTTTGCTGATGCTAAACAGCTTGCGCTGGTTTTAGATCCGGCCACGTAAAAACCCCTAACAATGAAAAGTAACAACATGCTCGGATGAGATCCCCTTCATTTTATGACGACCACGGCAAACTTATAAAGGACTATAATTGAAGGGTATGCACTTGGACTATCCGGACCCCAAATTGGGAAGGTGGCTCTGCCTGGTCGGTTGATGTACTCGGGGAAGCCAAAAGCTGACATCACCGCCATCCAAGAAATGATGGACATCTACTACAGTTGCCAGGAAAAATATCGGAAACTCGATGTTCGATTTGTGTCATCCCTCCGCTTAATAATGCTCGCCGTCAATCACAACAGACCGCCAATTTATTCGCCACTTGTCTCTCACACATGCTCTCTGAGAGCACTCTTCAACAAACAGACATAAGCGAGCAGTGGAACCATATTTCCCACTTATTAAGTACTGACGTCGAAGAAGTAGTCGGATTTCAGCAACTGGCCAACGCGAGCTAAGTGGACCGTTATACAGAACTGAAGAGGGAAACGAGACGTATTTGCTGCAATAAGAAGAAAAGGAACGAAATACGTGTGTGCGAAGAGCTTAAAATGCTGGCCGAGAGAAAAAAAA